CTACCTAACTGAATATGTCCCATTTTAAAAAGGAATCCCAAACTTGACTTAGGAATCCTTAAATGGTAAATTCTAGTATACAAAACCAAATTTGGGTTAAAGAGTGCAATTATGCATGAGGAAGATTATAACACCCTCATAGCACCCATCCAAAGATGGTACCAGTTTGATTTCAAGTTATCCAAATCTAAAAATAATCTTTATAGTTTACCAAATAATTTAATATTGAAAATTTTCCTTAAATTACTCAAATATGTTAGTAATAATTTAAGAATATTTCCTTACCTTAGCAGTATTCAAAGAGACTATTTGTCATGCTTTGAAATGGCTCTGCCATCGGATTCATTTAATTTTTGTGAAAAAAAACTTTTATTTGTGATAAAAAATGAGATTTAGAATCTTATTCTAGAAAATTTTTTATCTAAATTCTCTAATTTATTGATAAAATTTAGAAAAGGATTTTCTCTCCTAAGAAATTACGTAAAGATTGTTATTTGCAATACTCTTAATAATTCCATCATCGAAAATTCAAAATCTAATTTTTATAAAAAATAATTTATTTTTAAAAATATCTTCCAATATGTTGGTAAGATTTTCTATCAAAAAGTTTTCTCCAACATGTTGGTAGGATTTTATGAAAACTATTTTTCTTTTTATTTTGAGAAAAAATTTAAAATAAGCAAAAATTATCATGCAAATAATGCAATAATATAATATATCATGCAACAAATCATGCAATAAAATATTAGAAAAAAAATCATGCAGATATTAATTAATCATGCAAATATAAGTCACACAAAATCATACAATTAAATATAATCATACAAATAAACATATAATCATATCATGCAATAAATATAAAATCATATCATGCAAATATATTGTAAAATCATGCAAAATATATATTATAATTAATGTCAAATTTTTTTTCTAATTAATTCAATCATAATTAAAAATAAATAAATAAATAAATAAACAAAAATATATGTATAAAAAAGCATAAAATTAGAAAATAAAATAAAAATAAAAAGAATAAAAAAAGCCAAACCTTGCAATCGGGTAAGATTCTAGGCAAGTAGGTGCATGGATCACTAGCAAGTTAACCGGGTTCACATAGGTCAAAGCTTTTTCCAAAATGGTGTCGTTCCAATGTGGTATAAAAGCCAAAAAAGTTAACCAACCCTTATATGGCTCTTCTCCTCTCTCTCTCTCTCTCGCTAGAAAAAATTCTCTTTACCATCTCTCTGAAAACATAAATGAAAATTTCAACTAATAGCCTAAACACAAATTCTAGTGTTGTGAAATTTAAACGGTTTCCAAAAAATTCAACCCAACCTGGAAATTACCATGAATACCAAAACCTGACCATCATGAGTTCCTCTGACTGCCATAAAACTCATCAAAAAATTTAAACTTTTAAGCCAAAAAACCCAAAAATCAAACCAAATTCCTAAAAAACAACCCAAAGCCCTAAAATCTCCATATAGCTCCAAGAATCCTAGAAACTCAATCCCTGAAATTCAAAACAATTCCCAAAAAATCAACCCAGAAACTTCAATTCACAACTAAAAATTCATAACCAAAAATTACTTCTTAAAAGAAAAATCCCAAAATTGAAATCCAAAACCGAGGGGCACTTTTTAACGCCTAAGATTGCTAAATCTTGCTTAGGAGTTTTTCTATAATTTCTGTGTAATCTCTACCTGTGTGTTTTGGAATGATTTATATAGAACTTTGAACAATGATTTTAGGGATTTTCCCTGAATGGCAGAGATTGGATCTATCATAAATAGATTTGATCATGCTCATGGCTTGATTTTTGCTTTGATTTTGAACAATAATTCCTATGATTTAGTTTCCAATTTTAGTCAAATATGATTCCTAAAAAAAAAAGCTCTTGATTTTTTTTGGTTTAAAGAAATAAAACAAAAAAGAAAGCTATCTACCCTATTTATTGGGCTCAGAATCCCAACACCAGCTGAATGGGTCTATTCATAGCCTAACTATTCCACATCAATTTTGAAGGCCTAATAAATATTTTGAAAACCCAATAGTCCAAATGAAATCCAAACCAAAAATGATCATTCGATTAGAAGCTTCAAACGAAATGAGATAGCTACATATTTCATTTTTATTTTATTATTATTTATCTTTTTTTCTAAAAGAATAAAACAAATGATGTGTTTAGATACAAGAATAAACAATATTTTTTATGAAATTATATGTATTTGAACAAATTATGATTATAATTAAATAATTTTTAATATACGTCAAAGGAGAAACCAATGAGCAAATCAAATTAACAACCAACTAATCAAATATGTCATTTTGGACAAAACTCGTACTTGGTAGAACTTGAACCTAAAGATTTAAAGGTTTGAAGGCTTCCTTCTTGCTACTGAGATGAAAGTTCATTAGAAAGTAAATAATATTTTTAAATAAGTAAAATTTAAAGATTAATCTATGTGATAATATATTTGAAAATATATCACATTTCACATTTTAATCAAAAATTTTTATTACTTGTCAAATTGTATCAAATAAAAAATTTATAACCATATATAAAAATAATATAATATACACATAAGAAATTTTAAGAATTTTTATTTTCTTTTTAAATTTTTAATTTCAGTGGGGTCAACATAAATAAGTTACGCAAACAATAATGCATGCTTTGTCTTTGAAGATTAAGGAGTAGTTTTCTTTAGCAATTGTCCCACACAAAAGATTTTGATATATTTGAGGCACATAATAGCATCTTAAATGAGTTTAGTCACTATTGGTAAGTCAACTGCCACTACTATTCCTTCGACTTATTTGAACTCACCATTTTCCATTTTGATTTTGGATGAGCAGGTCCTATCCAAATGTTTGAACATAATGTCAAATGCATATGGTGAGTGCATCCACTGTCAATGAGATATGCACTTGAGCAATTTCTGATTGTCTAGCAAGATTCCATAAAGACGTGTTCTTTTTACTGCACCTGGTTGTCATCAACACTTGCTTGTTGATCTTATTGCTTATTTTTGTTTTTGCACACCTTTTCCATGTGTGGCCAAGTTGTTTACAAGACCTACATTGTATGTTAGATCTGCACCAGCAAAATTTCTTCTAGCATGTGGTTTATTTGCAATGAGAAGAGGGTGGAAATTTGCCTTTCTTTCCACCTTTTCCATAAATTTTTTTTCTTATGTCTTTGATTTTTTTGTTCTTGCCATCTAATTACATTTTTTTCTTTTTCATTGGCAGCAAATGCACCTTCAGTTGAATCCTCTAGCCTAATTCTTTGCTCTTGTGCTGCAGAGCATTCATTTATTCTGCCAAAGATATCTTGGTCAAGTCTTCGGAGTCTTCAAGTGAATAGATTTTGAATTCAAGCCTCATTGGTAGACTGACAAGAACTTTCTCTACAACTCTGTTGTCTGTCATCTCCTCTTCAAGTAATCTGAGCTTGTTTTAATTTTGCCAAAGATATCTTGGTCATGTCTTTGGAGTCTTCAAGTGAAAAGGTTTTGAATTCAAACCTCTTAGGTAAGTTGACAAGAACTTTCTCTACAACTCTTTGGTCTGTCATTTTCTCTTCGAGTAATCTGAGCTTGTTTTCTTCATGAGTCTATCATTGTACTCATTTAAGAGTTTCAAGCTCTTTCATCTTGAAGATTTCATAATCTCTTGTGAGGTTGAGTATTTGCACCTATTTACAATGCCTTGAAATTCATCTTTAATCATTTCCCAAGCTTGGTTTGCTGTCTCACATGCCATAATTCTTATGAAGATTTCATCAGAAACTGATGATTCAACGTAATTCTTGGCTTTGTACCTTTTAACTTACTCTTCACTGTAATTCTTCATTTGATTTATAGTTAGACTTGTTGGTAAATGAGGTGGTTCCTTATCAATTTCGACCACATCCCACAAATTAAAGGCGCACGGATAGGACTTCATTTTGACAACCCACATCTGATAGTTTTCACCAAAAAAGACACGAGTTGGAGGCAAAGAGAGTTGCTTGAGTTGATAGAAGCTTGCTAGTTGTGTTTGCTGGTGTTTTCACTCAACTATCCGTAGCTTTCAAACCCACTAAAACCATAAATAAGCTTAATAACAATTAAAGGCACCGGACACCAAGGAGAGAAAAGAAAAAATGAAGGAGCTGTTTGAGAATACTTTGAAGATAACCTTCATTTTGATTTCAAACAGCAATTTATATCTTCAGAAGGAGAGATCAAATTTATACCAGTGTAAAATAAACAAGTTTTACATCTTTTTATAATAATTGATTTTAATACATTTAAAGAATAAAATTCAATCATTTTTTTCTTTTTTTTTTTTACTTATCTCTATCATTCATTAGATCTATTGACATCAATGATTAAAAAAAATATAAAACTTTTTTATTTTACACTTATGTAAGTGAATCTTTCTCTATATGAATATAAATAAAGAATACAAGATTAATTTGTTTAACTACTTCAACTGCTACATCAAGATTTATCTGTCACACTTTCCTAACTTTGAGGATCATGTCACAAATTGATAACATTTAAATCTTCCAAAAAGATATACTGGAACTAAAAAAAAAAAACGACTTCAAAAATACAAAATTAACTTTTGAAAACTGACAGCAAAAATACAACCGCACTTAACAAAAATTTTTAAAGTATGAAAAATATATATGTAGCATATTGTAGAATTTGTTTGACTATTAGTACGTAGCTTGAGTTTTACATCTTTTATTGTTGTATCCCACCTTCCCCCCCCCCGTCCCCCAAATTTATTGTGTGGACACATCTAGTAGTGGCATTTGGCTAATGCTCAAAGAAATACAGTAATACTGCCATAATTTATTGTGTGGACACATCATCTTCCTCTCTTTATATATAGTAACACACCAAAAAAAAAAATTTTCTCCTTCTTAAAAGAACTCAGACAAGTTTAAATTAACGATCATACTATATAACTGAAATGGAGAAGAAACTATTAAAACAACTGGATAGATAGGTGCTGATTGGTTTTAAATCCTGGAGAAACCAACCTTAGTATTTCATTTCAGAAACCTCCCAAGGAATAGTCTCTTTAGTCTTGATAATTGAGACCGACTTTTCTTCAAAACTTTATGGCTTACCAAAGAGCTCCTGCTCTTCACAGACCAGTTCTCACCCCCCTGCGTCACCATGTTCAGCTTGGTACAAAGATCTCTAATTGTTTCTCTCTTCTCATCATTTCTCCTTATCAACTCAGCCTGGTGGCTTAAGTTATCTTCGACCAGTTCGGAGACCTTGAACCTTAGTTCATTCCACAGCTTCTCATTTTCCAACATGGCTGCTTGAGAACCGTCACTTGTAGTGCGACGGAATCCAATGCCATTAATCATATCCTGTTGATCTTGGTTTTTACCGTATGGTTCCATCCTTGAGCTCTTGCTAGAGTCAGCTGGTGTAAACTCATCAGCTTGCCCATTTGAGTAATCATCGTCGAATTCAGTGTCATGATCAGGATCTTCAGCGGTACTGGATTTGGAATGGGAATTAGATTGTACTCCATTCAATTCCTTATTACCTTCAACAAACTTTTGCACTCCCTGGATTTGGCTTCGATGAGAATCGTCGTTTACTTCGGATCTCATCTGGTCATACTTCTCAGCTAAGGAGCGATAGGATTTGTGCAAGTCTTCAAGCATTTGGATGAGCTCGGGTCTTTTTTGATAGTACATTTCAGCCCTCTTGGCGAATGAATCTCCATCATCTTGCACGATAATGCTGAGAATGGCATTTATCTTCATATCCAAATCTACATAAACAATTTAAAAACATGTGTTATAATCGTAACAAGTGATACGCCATGAATGAAAGTATTCTACAGCAATAAACTTGAAATCAAACTGAAACTCGATCCATAGTAGTAATGCATCATGAGAACCAATTTTGTCATCCAAACTGATAACCTCGCTCGCGTTCAAGTAAAACTTAATTTGAATGGCAAAGAGTATTACCATTGGATGCAGTGACATTAATGAACTCCATTGAATATATCGCCGCTCACAACTCAACAATATATCTTTTACATGAGTTGAGCCCCAAATAAAAGAAAAAGAAACTATGAGGAAAAGGGGCAACCCCACAGAATTGAAGACAAATTGATTTCAAATGCGTATGACTAAAGTAAAATTTTTATTTTGCCTTCTAGTGTGAGCGAAGGACTATTATTGAGCTTGTGTCTCCTTGAAGCAAATGCAACACCTATCCAGCAGTTGAAAGTAGCAGCAGCTAGACTTGTTGACATATGTATGGGCCCAAGACTAACCGTTTTTCTATTAATTTTGATAATGAGTTAGTTCCTGTTTAACAAAGAAACTCCAGTTAGCATAGCAATCCTCAGACATCTAACCATTATGGAAGGATTGCCTCAGATCAACAAACAAGATTAATACCCTAATTTCATGAGAAACAAACATAAAAATAATAATAATAATAATAAGAGGAGTTGCAATAACAAAGATGGGGTGCAGCAGGATTACAACATTGTATATATATTTAGTCGATGGAGAATACTTGAAAAGTAGTTTGAAGCCATTAAGATTGCTGATAGTGAAGGAGAACTTGGATGTCCATCCGAGAAGAAAAAGCAGCAGGATGCTGGTCTTCTTGCTATTCTTTATCCATGTACAGGAAGCTATTCTATTACTACCAAAATTTTCAAATCCTATAAGCTAAATGAAGATAAAATGTCGGTTAAAGCTAAAAAATAATTAATTCTATTTTTTTCACGAAATTAATTTAATAGAAGTTCATTTGGGAATGTCTACATGTTAAGCGAAAATTTGAACTTGTAATTTTCATACTGATCTCCTTTTAGGATTCAATGTGTAATTATCAATTAACACCTTACGTGCGTAATTTTGAATTTGAAAAGTCTTTAGGATCTTCATTCACGATCATATATAAGATATCTGCATAATTCTTTTGATGATAAAAAGGATATATAATTCTTTAAAATTTCTTGTAAGCTGGCGAAAAAATAACTACAGTGGTGACATATCAAATACACCTTTAGGTAATATTTGATACAAGGTTATTACTCTAAAAATTATGGTGATTATCATTGAATTTGATAAACACTTAATTACCAAATCACTAAATTAGAGAGTGATGTAATTCTCGTACAAAACGATAAGAAACTTTTTTCATTAAATTAAAGTGATATGTTAAATTAATAATAATTAATTTTATCTATTTAATATGTGAATTAAAAATTTATTGCACCTTAAAATTGTAATTATTTTATATTATAAAATTGTATATATTCAGCTTAATACTCATTGTAACAAGTTCAAAAATAATTTTTATTTTTTTAATGTTTTATGTATAATATAATTTTTTTGTTTTCTTTTATTATGAATTTAATAGAATGATTTTATTTTTTAATTCAAATTTTTTTTGCATAATTTATATTATAAAAATCAATTTACCTATCAATAAATATATTTATTAATTTAATAATTTAATTATATTTTGTTATAAATAAATAAATATTATTAATATTTTACAAATTGTTATCTTTAAACAACCTTAAAATTATTAATTTGTGTAACTATTATAACATGCATGGTTATTTTTGTACTTTTAAACAAAATAATTTTTAATTTTTAATAATACCAAATACGGTAATATTTAATTCCTAAAAATTAATAATTGTTAATTAAAGGAAATGATTTCAAATTACAAGTGCTAGGATCACCATGATAATAAGATCACTTCAATTATTACATTATCGTGGTGATATTACAAAAGATACCAAATGCTAGCATACTACTTTTTAATGTAACACATAAAAATAGTAAAAACTAAAAGAAAAAAGTTTGAAAAGAAAATGTTTTCTATTGGCAAAAACAAATTTTTTAAGTTATAATTATAAACAAATATTTTATTTATATAGTCAACTAAATTATTATATTATAATTAAATTACAATCATTGAATAACAAACTGAAAAACTATAATATTACTAAACAATCAAACCCACATACAATAAAAGTTGAAGTTTTACATTATCCAAAACAATTTAAAATAAAGTTTTAAAATCAAACTCAAAGTTTTAAAACATCCTTTTTACTACTAAAATAAAAGCTTCATTGGCATTGAAACAAAACAATTTACAAACATACAGTGGTCTATTAATTCTAAATTTTTGAGTCTTACATTTCAATTAATGTTTACTCTTCAAAATTTTTAGTACCTTGACTACCTTCTATGGAAAACCGTTAGTAGAAGTTTTTGCTATGGACATGAAAATTTTCGGTCCCTCGATAATTCATTCCACCAAAAACTTCAAACTATACCGTTAAATCGTTAACTAAAAGATATTTCACTACACAAAGCTTCTCCATATCTAAGAATCAATAGAAAGTTAAAAGAAAAGTAAAAAAAAAAAAAAAAATCTGCTAAGACATTTTCATCCTAAATACAATTTGTCAGTGGGGTTTTTTTTTTTAAATCAAGAGAAGAAGTTATGTCATCCTTTTAAAAGAAATGGATAATTTTTTAAAGAATACTAGAATATTGTTTATACATATTAATTTTAGATTTGTCACTTCAAGGGTTTTTTTTTTTTTTAATTCTACTCATCACGTCAACCTCAATCAATAAATCATATATAATATTATATTAATGTTAGTGAAAAAAATTGAAAATATGAAATTTTTGTTTTTTGATAAATCTGAAATTTTAAGGAAAGACTCCAAAGTATGTAACAGTATCACTTTTCTTAAGATTTTATTCTCCTTCACTATATTATTTATTTAGTAAATGCATAAAAGAGTTACAGACAATAAATCTCAAAGATGAATAAAGCATAAAGATTGATTGCGTTTTGCACTAACGAAGTCAATCCACCGAACATTCACCAGTGTATTACAAGATAATTAAACTTCTATAAAAAATTTTTGCAGTAAAACTTTATAAAAGAAAATCTAGAGTTTATTGAAGGAAAAGAGAGAGTTCTAAGAATTGTTTATGTATATTCTAAGAAAACCAAAGAAGCTTATATAACCAATTAAGTGTCTATTATTCTACAAACATAACTGTTTATTTGAAATAAACAAAAACCATTCGTTTTTAATAATTAAAAACTATCTATTTGAAATAAACATATCTATTTATTTTATATATACTGTTTTTTCTTATCTGTCAATCTATTTTAAATAGATTTAACTGTTTGTCTGTTTTAGATAAACTTTACCAATCATACACTGAATTACTTAAAAATATAAATAAAATATAAAATATTATTTTATTTATTGCACTGTAAGTACCATGTGTCTTAGTGTCATGTGTCATTAATTAAATATTAATATTAATTATTTAATTAATGCAAGACCTACCAAGCTTGAAAATCTAAGCCTATAGTCCATTATCCACTTAAGTCTAATTACAATGGACTTTTGCTCCTTCTAATTTAAATGATTATCTTATTTGTTCTTTTTTCAATATGAAATTATTTCCCATTCTTTATTTTGAAAATTTATAACAATTACAATATTTATAGAAACCTAATAAAATTTGTTTGCGTCAAAACTTAAGTGGATGGTTTCTCTTTTCCTAAGAAAATTCTTAAATTTTTTTTATAATGACATGTAAAATATTTCATAATTTTAAGATATTTATAAAATTATATTTAAAATTTATTTAATTATCAAAATTTTTAAATTTAAGTAAAAGATCAATTCAATTATTTTTAAGTTGCTAGCAACAAAATCTAATTTAAATATATTATTTTTTAAAATATATTTTCAAATAATCTAAATATATATCTTTTTCAATTTAAAATTTTTAAATATAGTGATATATTATCTTTTAAAATAGGTTTTCTAATAATATAAATATATATTTTTCAAATCTAAAAATCTCAAATGTAGTGATATTATAAAATAGATTTCTTAATAATTTAAATATATGTCATTTTAAATTTGAAGTTTTCAAATATAATTTTTATTTTTAGAGATTTTATAATAATTCTTTTTTATCTGATTATTTTTAAATTAAAAAAAATCAAATACACATACATTAGAAGATAATTTATTCTTTAACTATACTCTTAATGTTAATTTTATTTTTCTATTTTTTAACCTTTATGCTTGTAAAGAAATAGTTTTTTTAACCTGTGAAAAGCACAAATCTTTTTATTATATTTTTATAACTTTTTGTTATATGAGATGCACAATTTTTATTATATTTTTTTATAATTTGTGCATGCACATGATAAAAACTTAAAATCAATGCTTTTTTTTTTTTGTTTTTGAATTTTTTTATGAAACTTTGAATATTTTATTTGTTTTAGAGTGTACGGATGAACCTTATAGAAAATTTTTTACAATTTATAAATGTTAGAGCGAAAGAAGAAAAAAGTTTTAGCACAATAATAACTTTTTTGACGTATTTTGACAATTGAAGGTAAAAATATTAATTTAATTATTTAATCATTGTTTGTTGGTTTTATATATTTATTTAGAAAAGACTATATGGGCTTACTATTAATTGTTGATTTTGTTGTGCTTTTTTTTTTTTTTTTTAATTTATAAATAAAAGCAAATGACTAAAATGCAATACTAATTCTAACATAATTGTTTTATATAAAAGTAAATTCAAGTTTATTTATTTGAAATTAGTTTTTTATAATTTAATTCTTTTATATTATTATTAATTTCTGAAAATAAAACGCAAGTAGTAAAAGGTAAAAGCAAAATTTTTTACCTTTAAAATCAATTATAAAATTATGTTAATGAGAAATGACATCTTCTCATTGAAACCTTTTACAACAAATTTTTAAAATAATTGTTCAAAATTTAATACTATTACTTAAAATTTAAAACTATTTCATTTCAACTTTTACACAACTTTGCATCAAATATAAAACTTAAAACAAGTATAAGTATTAATTTGACAAATATTATCAATGTTGAAGATCAAGATATTATTAAAACTCATGCAAAAATATAAATGCGAATAAATTATCATGCACGTTATTTAAACATTTAAAATTATTTTTTTTAAATAAATAAAATTTATTTTAAAATTATATAAATTTGCATGTATATAAAAAAATTGCACAATATGAAAGTGACACAAATTAAAAAAAATTAATTTGAAGTAATTAAATATTTAGTTTTAATTTAATATTTTATTGCTATACTCGATAATATTATTTATATATAAATTTTTTGAATATTTTATTTTTCTCAAATATTATTATATCTTTTAAATTTTTTAATTAAAAATTTAATTATATTATGTTTTGCTATTTTAGTTATGTTATTTGTAATTTATATATATATTGAACATTTAAGAAATTAAATAATATTAATTTATATATATCTAAACACATTTGAATAAATAAAAATAATCCATGTTGTTACACATGTAACAAGCTAGTTAATTAATATAGATTAACAATACCTTTTTAACGTGAATGTAAAGACTACAGAGCCCTCATTTTTTGTTCTGTGTGGTTGTTTACTTTTTCTTTTGCCTCAAAACATCTTGCCTTTCCAATGTTAAATAAGCGAATGCTTTGAAAACGACTCTCACAATGCCCGTGCAGCAAAAACAACATAAAACCCAATATTCCCTCCACGGCAATGCGTCACTGTATTTCTTAGTTTACCAGTTTCGTGGTCCTCACTATTTGTGTCCAAATCTCACCTATTGCCTGTCTCCATACGTGGCAGGGCCTTAGCCAAGGGAAACCTTAATTCTCAAGAGCAGGGAATAGTCTGATCTGATCACATCCAAACGCATCTGACTTCCGATTTTTCCCTTCTTCGTTCCTTCTATTAATTTGCAGTCTTCATTCTATTCTAAAATTAACTTTTCTACCAGGTGCTCAAAGCCATAATCGTCTCCAACATGTTCAAAAGTACAAATAATGCCCTCATCTTTTTTTTTTTGTTGGTTCAGACACCGACCAATTATGGACTACGAAAATTAACAACCAGCACACAACAAAATTCACAGAACAATTGCACACACTACCCCCTGGAATTCTCAAGACCAAGCGGCCCCCTAATTCCCATCCCACCCAAAAACTTGACGTAGCCGTAAAAATCGATGCTCAATGACAATGAGCCATCAATCTGAACTTACCTCTTTGCTGCCATCAACCTCGCCCGGGCACACTAGCATTAGTAAATAGTAACCAACCGAACATTCCTTTCAAGTCATATTTGCTTTTAATTTATTTTAGCATTGATGAGTACCTATAAATTCAATTAACTTGGATGAGGCTGCCTTGGCACTTGTTTTTTTAATTGCATTTCATTTTACACAATCAGCATTGGCATTTTTATTATTGCTGCAAGAGCTGAGCTTAGTGAAACCGGCCCGATTAACTATGGTCAACCACCTCCTTCACTTATCTTTTCAAATCCTAAAAAACCCACGAAGGAAAGTTTGGAGCTGAGGGCACAAACCATCTTTCTATGAACTCATCAAACCGGGTCAAAGGAACTCCTTTCGGCAGGTTGGCAATTGAAGAGAAAGTTGCAATTGCCAAACAAAATGACAGGACATAATGCGTTGAGTGAAAATCAAGCAGCGCACTACACCCCCAACATCAACCTACTCCAAAAATTACCTGATGGTTCCATCTCCCACTTTCAAGTGTAATCTTTGATTTTATCAGGTCTTAGTTTTACCATGAATGATTAGAGAGGTGATTATTTAGGGTTTAATAGCAAAGTCAAGCTCATTTGCCCTCCGATAAAGCAATGCTGATGCTTCCACCCTGTATTTTTTTAGAAATAGTTAAAAAAAAAAAAAGAATCAAAAAGCATGCAAGTATAAACAGCTAATAATTGACAGTATACAAATAGATTGAGAAGTATAGACTATCTCACCAGCCGGGGTGAACAACAAATTTTCCAGTAGATAGAGCCCAATTCACCTGTTCAAAACAATATCATGAATTAAATTCGGTTGAAGAAATGAGATCAAATAAGCAACCCCCGGCTGATAAACAATGAGCTTCAGTTTCCCGTTCTATCATCACTAAATACAACAAGACAAAAGTTTGTTTACCAGAAAAGCACAAGGAAAGATATATTTACAAATAATTGTCACGCAGAAAGTACATATATGACTACTAAGCAATTCAAGGAAGGTTGATTCAAATGGCAGTATTTTTTTAAAAAATGAATTAAACAATTGTAAAAACAGAAATACTTCGGAAAGAAAGAATCACAAGCATTGGTACCTTATCAGTTCCAAGAGAGTTGGCCACCACATGTGTGACATGCTCATCTATCTGATTTGTGCACACAGCTCCAAATTGCTCAGCTGTCTGCCACAATGGATGCAGGTGAGGATTGGCTTCTCCTACAGGAAATACCCTACTAAATACAATACGACAACCAGACAAAATCTTCCGTTGCTCCGTGGCTAGGATATTTCTAACATCCACATCATCTAAATTCTGATGTGAAAAGAAATTTTGATGTATTCTGTCAACAACCTATTTGAACAAAAATAAGGGTGAGACAAATAATATTCTTTCAAAAATGAAGATATCAAGCAAAAGCTGCAAAACAGTCGTCTCACCGCCAATGAAGATGCCAAAGTCCCATCTTCTGGTCTCTCATCATGGTCAATCTCAAGAAGAGACGGACCTAAAAGCCCAAATTGGCGCCTACTACAAGGAAAATAAGTATACCTGTAGAACATATGATTAGATAGACATGAGGATCAAGACAGTAGCATGGATCAAAGTACTTAATAGTATTCAATTAAGGAATGTATACCTCTCTACAACTATCAAGTTAAGTTTATTATGCGGCCAGACTCTCACAGAGTCATCAATGATAACCACAGCCGATTCCATACCCAGAACCCCTTCAAGATCCTTACCCCGGGGAACCCTCTCATCACCATCAAAGGGATCTCCATCATCACCCCTAGAAATAACTCGTCCAGCAAACAAAACCCCTTTTGGATCAAGCACTTTTGCCATCTCTGTGGCATAGAGCTTGTTCCCCATCGTGTAAAGATGCAGCTCAAACAACTTACTAGCCTGAAATGACGAGAGAGATTTAAATCAGTGTCACAACTAAAGTCCCAAAACGTAGTGAAGCCAAAGAAGAATAGTAATGACTCACCTTCTCTAAGAAATTCCAGATTCCAGGTCGCAATTTGGTCCACATTCCCATATGATGAAAGCGGAAGAGATGTCTCTGTGGTTTTTCACGATCTTGTTCCTCTTTCTTTCTCAAGATCTCCTCATGCACCGGGTCTACTTCATTAAACTGAGAAGATGAAAAGTAAGTGGCTTAAACAAGCACAATTTACCAGATAATTTTTTTAAAAGGAAAAAAATAAAAAATAAAAAAATAAAGAGAAAGAAAAGTTGAGACTTAATTGACGAAAACTCACTTTGGCTGAATTAAGAAGTGTATGATCTAGATCCAAGACAAGACAGAGTTTGCGTGCAGCAAACATTTTATTTTGCTCTTCTATCCTCCTTGCCCTTTCTCTCTGGATAGCTGCCTTTTGCTGGTCATCATATCTTTCAAAAAGATGTTCAACATCTCCCCATGTATTCTGTGAACAAGGAGGACATGTTGCACCTACTTCAGCTGCTGAACCTGCCCGAGTCCGTTGATTTTCAGAATAAGAAACTACTGTCTTCATATCCATGCAGTCGGACTTAATTTGTACTGGTTGGGAGACTAAATTCTGGGTCACTGCTGGCAGACTAGTCAATGGTTGTGAAACAGAAATAATATCAGCAATATTTTTGAGATTTTTGGTAAATTGCTGAGTGATATCTGGTGGTTGAACAAGCTGAGATTGCATTGGCTTAGATTCTGTCAGACTCTCCAGCTTTTGGGCTTTGAGATTGTCCTTGCTTCTCTGGGTGATAGATGTACGGGTGGTTCCATTTGTTTTTAATTGATCAGGTCCCACGGTACCACTCCTTTGAAGCGCATTCCCATGAAGAACACGGCGAGGGTCACGAGGCTTCATGCGAATTTTACCAGACTCATCCTGAAAAGTCATCAATTGTTAAACATCAAGATTAAAAAAAGAAAAGCGAGATAAATATTAATTTTTATTTGTCCTCATCTGGTAGAAACACTGGAACATGAAAACGAGACTTGCTGAAGAGGCAGATGCCTAAAACAAGTATGATTCCCACATTTTTAAAGGTAAACATAATATAATGAAGTGCTCACCGGAGGGGGAACCTGAAGATTTCCTGCAGGTCTTGACAAAGTACCAGACGAGCTTGTGGAAACAATGTTCACAGAGGGAGAGGGAACAATGTTTGCAGAGGAAGACGAAACAATGTTTGGAGGGGGAACTACTCCCACAATTGGATTTGAGTTTGGCTGATGCAATGTACTCTTTAAAGGATCAGGAGATTTCTGCTGGGCTTCAGATGCTAATCTTTGCTGTTGTCCCATCTTAAGTATATTTATCAGCATGGTAGGATTCACTGCGATATCTTTCAACAAAGCAGGCAAGATAGGGGTACTCAAACTTGTCAGTGACACCTGCTCATTTCTGTTAACAGTCATATTGGTTCTACCACTTACAGTCCCTGAACAAGTTACTCCATTATTATCCATTTTCCTGGAATTGGAATCCAAATTCTCTTCAGATTGGCTTCTGTTTGCTATCTGAGACCCACTAACATCAGTGTCCTCTAACCAGCCACCATTTCCAGACACGGTTTGGACATCCCTAACAACCCCAAAATTTTCTAACTCATTTCTTTGTCTTTTGAGTGCAGGACAATCCAAAACAGGTTCTTCCACACTCTTTTGCTTTCTTGAATCCGTTACTCCTCCAACGGGTGCCACTTTAGATGCATTATGCAAGGGTTGTTGGTTTAGATCCAAAGCACTCACATCAGAGTTGGCAAACCGAAGTCTTGGGTCTCTGCTTTTTACCGAGGCTTTCGACACCATATTAGATGCAGAACTCACAGTCACAGGTGTAACATTTTGAGTTGTAAATTGTCCTTGCATGCTGGAACTGGCACTATCAATTTGAGCTGGTGAGGAAACAATTTGATCGCCCAAAACAGGAAGATTTGATTTAAAGTTATCAATGCCAGACGAACTAGAAACTCCCCCACCATTGTCACCACCCTCACCACCAGATTCTTCAGAAGGGGTTGGGCTTGGAAGTCTATCACTTGAAAAGAAAGATCCTCGACCAAATTTTTGTTGATAGTTAGAAAAGGCTTTGAGGGCATCCGTTTCATAAGGGTGCAATTTATTACCTCCTGCATCATGAGAACACTTAGCCATTATAAATCCAGATTTAACCATGCTATCTCCAATAGTCAATGGCTTGTATACAGGTAAACATGGTGTTGTTTCCCGTGTAGGCGAAGGAAGGCTGTCTGCATCATGATCCTTGTGAAGGTCTAGCAGAGGGAGAGAAACCCCTCTGTTCCTAAAATTAGGTACACCAGGCTTTAAAGTTTCTGTTAACATATTTGGCTTATTATGAATCACAGAATTGACAGAAAAAGCCAACTTCTTTGTGACAGTCAAATCCTGACCAATATTTTCACCTAAAGCATCAGGATCCTTCTCATTAACAATCTTTATCTCTTTCTCTGTGTCAATTGCTCTGGCAGGGGAATTCAGAGAGAGCAGCATGACCTCTATCTGTAAAGACAGACAACATCTTTAAGATTTTCATAAACACAACAATCTTGTTAAGCTAATAGTCCAAAACTAATAAGTCACCAATCTCACCTCTTTCATCTTGTCAGAAGGGAACAGAGGAGGATCATGACCATTTATAACAGAAAGTAACCTGTTCCCAAAATGCAAAACAAAGAGATAAATAAGCATATTGATTTCATAAAAAGTTTTGATAAAGAAAAGCTATTAAAACCAAATAAAAAACCTTGATAAAATGGATGCATTCTGTTCCTTTAAATTAGAGTTCAGAGCAACGAATGCCTGCAATGAAAAGAAGTCAGACTCTACAATTTTGTAATCAGCATTCATGATTTAACCAAAACTTTCATATAATCGTCAGAGCAAAACAACTATTACAATTAAAACTCCTGGATTTCTTACAGAATTAACTGCTCCAAACGCCAGCTGGGAAAGGGATTCCTTTGTGGGAACAGTACATTCAAATGCCAATCCTTGTAAGCTCTCCATAGCATTCTGCAGTCTAGAACAAACTTCCTCGAATGATCTACAAAAAGAAAATTGGAAAAAAAAATCATTTCAGCGGAGCCATCTTACTCATCAAGGTAAAAAATAGGTGATCTTTTCAATGCAGTATTCATACTTCTCTGCTTCAATCACCGTAATCCCTTCCAGTACTTCCCGAATCAGGTTAACTCGCTTCTCCAACTCATTCGGGTTAGCAGCACTACCATCCTCACCACTCAAAACCATTTCTTTTACAGGCTCCGTATCCAAATCAATCTCCCCCTCTTCGAGCTCCCCTTCTTCCTTGTCTAGATGCACAACCTTGTCCTCTTCCATTTCATCCCCACTATCATCATCAATCACAACTCTATCAGCTGAATTTCCACTACTACCCTTCTCTTTGCTATTTCCAGAAGCCACCGAAGACGAAGACGAAGACGAAGACGAAGACGAAGACGACTGTGACGATCGCTTGGAGTTGTTGTTCTCGTCTTGTTGAGGTTGGGATTGTTCAAACTCCTTTACAAAAACATCATTGAGAGGTTTATTCTGAACTGCTTGTGCCCAAGCAAAATTATACAAACCCGAAGCGTACCCTCGAATAACCGATGGGTACTTGCACAGATCCTCCATCGTCCAAACTCTTGAATTCGAATTTGCTTCCCCTCCTTTCGACGATTTCGATTCCTTCCAAATCTTAACCTCTTGCTTGTTAAAATCTTCCTCACTGATTTCCTCTATTGAGGCTGAATCCGAAATCTCACCTTCTTCAACATCCTCCACTTTGTTTTCATCTTTTCCCATCTGATCTAGGGTTTCCCTTTTTCTTTTCTTTAATTTACTCAGCCCTATCCAATTAGATCCAACAAGCAGCATATATTTACATACCAATTTCTTTTTCTTTTTCACAGAAAATAACAATCAATCCAAATCTCTAGCTCTTAACAACCAAAAAAAAAAAAATCCACGAATTTTTCTTAACTAGATCTCGCAAGCAATTAGACTAGAGTGAATACTTAACCTCGATAAATTAAGATCTGACCAATTTAAATAGGGAAATTCTTATTTTTCGAGATTTGAACTCAGATCTGTTCCATTTTTGAGGTTTTAGGACGGTGACAGATATAATTATTTTTCTTGAGATCTCACTCGAGAGAGAGGATAGATGGGAGAGAAAAATTTTTAAAAATTAAAAACAAAAACTGCTAAAAAGATGGAGCGATGAGAAAAGTAGAAGGAGAGGAGAATTTTATAAGAACGAGAATCTATGATACGCAAGAGTTTTTAAATCTGGACCGTACACGTAGCGATCCAGAAAATAAAAAGTTGTTCTTTTGGTAGTGTAATGCGTGATGTTATTATTTTAACTAGCTTTTTAAACCCGCATAATGTACGGAATTTTTAATTAAATTTTTCATAATTTTAAATTTATTTTTTAATTATTGATCTAACATATAATCATGTATTTATTTATAAATGTTAAGTTACAATTAAATAATAATTTATATATAATATATTATAAATGATTATGTTCATCTAAAATAAATCTAAATTTTTATGAATTTTCAAAAATTATAAAAATAATTTTTTCATTAAAAAATATTTTCTTCAATTCATTTGTTAAATACTAAAAATTTTGTTATCATTTTTTTCTTATTTGATAAAAAATCAAGAATCAATATTTAAATAGTTAAAACTAATAATTATTTTTATCATAATATTGATTGGTGTATATATATTTGATTGAACAACAAATCATAATTATTAATTTGGTTATAACCATTTGCTTTTTATTAGTTTTTATTTTTTACATACTTTAAGTAATTATTATGCAAATATATTGGGCTAATAATTATTTATATATATGTCAACAAAATAAAGTTATTTTTAGATAAAAGGGAAACAATAATTCTTTATGTTATGCTTAAAAATTTTTTAATTTTTAATATTTTTAACATAATTGATAGTATTTTTTGTAGGTTAGATATGATAGCAATCATCATTCTTCTCATCCCTTATATTATAGATAAAAAAATTCAATAATAAAAAATATAACAAAAAAAAAAATAGAGAATATAAGTTTATATCTTAAATTGTTAAGATTAAATATATACAATAATAAGAGTAAATATGCTAATAAATTAACAAAGAATGAAAACATTGAAGAAATGAATAAAACAAAAAATATATAATACAAAAGTTAATCATAATCAATCTAAGCAAAATTAAAAACAGTTATGGACTAAAGAGAAACAAATAAATTAACCAAATATATAATATAAAAATATTTGAATTAGAACATAAATAAAACATTATATTTGTTTTCAAAACAAAATATATTTTTATCTAACTATTTTTTCAACATTTAAATATCTCATATTTTCATATAAAAATGTAAGCTCCTATTACTTTAAAAATACATGCTTTTTAATCAATAATTCATTAACTTATCTAAAAGTATTAAATTTAAATAATCTATTAAATAATTTTCAATATTTGATATATTTTGATTTGAATTTAAATAATTTATTAAATAAAATTATTTAACAGAAAATATATTTTTATTAAGTATATATATTTGGAATTGTTATTAAATTTAAAAAGAAAAGATAAATTATGATTTAATATATTGGAATTCAAATTTTATGTAAAAATTTCAATCTCATGTAGATTTTGATTTCAATTTAAATAATTATCCAAAATATTCAATTTAAATAATTTATTAAAAAATTTTATTTGATAAATAAAATAATATAAGTACTATCTTATATGTCATTAAAAGAGATTATTCACCTAGACATCCACATAAGCAATTTTTACCATGTAACTTTGTATGTTGTAATATAATATATATATATATATATATATTAGATTTCATACAATAAAAAAATGAATTTTATTTTTTTATCTGAGTTGAAGACTTACTTTAATATTATATTCTATACAAATTTTACTTTAATAAAATACATATATGTTGTTTTATAAATATATATACTATATTTGAACCTACATTACGTCGCAAAATTATTTTAAAAATATATAACAAATATTTTATCAAGAAAGTGCTTTGTTACTAAAGTAAGTGGATATAAAAAAAATAATATAATGGTTCATTATTAATCATAATTTATTATCAATTAAAAATGTAAGTATTAATAATTTAAATAATCCTTAAATTTTTAAGGAAATATTAGCATATTGATATTTATGATATTATTTAAATTCAAAGAGATGGGAAAAATGAAATATTTTTGGAATATATATACATGAATGTATATACTTTAAAAAGAGAGTGGAACATGAATGTATATACTTTATTATTTTTATTGTAAATATTGGAGCTTCTACCCCAAAAGTAAGATTGTTAAATCAGATAATGAAAAATTTAGAATAAATCCATCTTATTTAAAATGCTAATATGGCTAATGAAAGAATTTAACCATAAAAGAATAGGTAGATAGCAACATAAGTGGTCTAAATAATATAGTATGAATACAAAGTTATAAAGAAAAATTAAAATCTCAAGCATACCTTTTCATAGTGATTTAAACAAAATGCATTTGTAGAACTTTTTTAGCTAAAAACTGAGTTAGCAATCTACAGAAGAAAAAACCAAAAAGAAAAAATAGAGGAAGTTAAAAAAAATTTACAAAACATAGTTTTTTAAGCTTTTTCAAGACAAATAAATGGCAAAAATTATACCAAAATAACCATTCATGCTCCCAACTCTAGCAACAAAATATAAAGAATAAAAATAAAATAAAAATAACATATATAAAAACATATATCATTAAAAAAAATGAAGCATTTATATGGTATCAAAAGATAATATACATTTTTGTTTGTTCTATGCACCCAATAACTCTTTAGGATTAAAAAAAAAACTACTTACTTTAATTCTAGAGGAAAGCCATACCTCATTTCTATTTTGTATAATGTCATAGCTTTTCTTAATTAATCTCTTGAAATAATGATGAAAGAAAATAATAATTATATAAGACAATTAGATCCAGTTGCATGATATCATGAATGCTCAAAATTTACTAAACTTCATTATGACCAAAAAAAGAAATGGCTTGCCTTAATTCTATAAAAAAGCCACACCTAATCTCTATTCCATACTATATCATAGCTTTTCTTAATTAATCTCTTGGAATAATGATGAATGAAAATAATAATTATATAAGACAATCAGATCTAGTTGCATGAATCATGAATGCTCAAAATTTACTAAAATTCTCATTGTAAAAAATGTGTTAGTTCTTGCTAATTTATAATGATAGTTCATGCCTAATAGTTAATAAGAAAACTAATAGCTCCAGCCAATTTATATTGCCAAAGAAACCTAAAAGGGGAAAAAATATTGTACTATGCTGTAAAGAAATTTTGAACATAAAAAAAAATCCATAAAAAATACACTACGGTAACCAATAACATATATCACACTGTAGCAAGTATCAAAAAGCAGAAAAGAAAACATAACTTTGAAAAAAAATGTAGTTATCAACATTGTAAAAAAATTAATTGCTTACGCATAAAAAGAAAGTAAGAACCCATATATGTCACCACCTACAACACTAATAAAAGTTTTAATACTAACTTGAAAAATAAAAAAATAAAGTATCAATTTTAAAAGTGCATTAATCAACGTAGAAGAAAATTTAATTTTAAAGCCATAGAAATTATCTAAACTTGAAACCATAGTAATGATCCAATATAAAAGACAAAAAGGCAAACGACATTCTTGTTTACGTAAAAAAGCCTAGGCAATGTACATAATAGCTTTGAATGTCTCAAGGTATAAGCAAGTTCCTCCAAAAGCTTTTTACCAAATCCATAAACTATTAGTTCATCATTGCAATACTAATTCCATTTAAAAAGGCAAGCATTCATAACATATTATAAGTTATATTTTAGATCTTTGGACCTATAAGCATATAAAATTATATCAAAATCCCAATTTTGTTTTTGTTTATAAGATCACCATATTAAAGTTAAACTGTAAAAAAAAATTTTGGAAAACAAATATAGTTGTGCATGACAGAGTATAATCATATTTTTTTCTTAGCAAAAATACAATACTTCATTGATAGATTTTAATAGGTAAACTACATAAGAGAATGAAAGAAATATACCTAGATCAAAAGTGTACATATATAGCAGAAAACTACTCAAAGTATGGAAAAGTAGAATTATAAAAAATAAAAAATCAATCCTTACATGTAATAACCTAAATAGTAATTAATACTTTTCAAACTTAGGTTGATGGTATAATTAAAGACATGCAAACCAACATATTACATGAAAAATTTCCATGATAATCTACAAATCAAAGCAAAATAACTAAAATTACCATGATAATCTACATATATTGGATGTTAAGCAAACCAAAATTATTATTTTAAGCATATATACGGAAGTACTTAGCTTACCATTCTTCATAATTTTCAAGTAACATTTTGTCAACCTATTCATTTAAAGGTGATTCTGGAATAACTCAATTAATAAACACCTAATTAACTACAATCACAAAGTTTAGTATCAAAGAAAACAAAAAATATCAAACCAAAGATCCAAAGCTAATTTCCTAAAAGAAATTGATAGTCTGGAGGTAGTTCTCATTAAACAAACTGATATAAAATAAGGTCTAGTTCTAATAGAACTTACAATGAATACATGTCATAATCACAGACTTGGATTGCACAAATTTCACCATTGGTTGCAATATTTGGATAAAAATCTTTGTTAAAAAGTAGTCTTCAGCAAAAATATTCAGATTTTAAAATATCCACTAATGAACAAAATAAAATATATCCATAACTATATTTGGCAAATTTCATTCTATATAAATTGAATGAAACAAAAAGAAAATCTATAAATCATACATACCAAGAATATGCCCAAATACTTTTTGATAATCTAAATAGCAAAAAACATTGAAAAAGACAAAAATTTAAGCTTGAAACAATCTAAAAATAAATGCATCCTACAATAAGAAAATAAAATAAGACAAAAGATATTTAGAGTACTTAAAATTTTACTCAATCAATTGAAATCCATGTATATACCTGTAAAATAATCATAGAAAAATAAAATGAAATAGCACATGCTATAGGCAATTATAAATAGTGTAAATACAATTTCCCAATCCTTAGTGAAAAAATTCCAAGCTAAACAATTGATGTAATAGAAAAGTGTTAATTATGTAGTCCACAACTTGACTTCTTTTGTTA